TTATTTATGTTTGCTACATGGAGAAGTAAATATTAACTAAGGACAGTAACTACCTACCTGAGTATTCTAGCCAAATCTGGCACTTATAAGTCCTTCAACTGATCCAATCAATCCCAGTATTGACACAATCAAGCAGACAAGGCTGAAAATCCTAAGAACGATCCATTTCTTTGTCCATGGTCCTATTTTCGTCTGGATAAAGTACATTTCCACTGGGAAATATACAGCCAATGGCCAGAAGCTTGCCGCCCCCAATACTCCCAACGCTTGATTGAAGTATGGAAAGATCATGGCAATGATAGTTGTGGACACAACGTATGCTGTTCGAAAGCATAGCCTGAAAAGATTCATCTCAACAGGAGGTAACATAGGGAGTTTCAGGGTGTAGATGCTATTCACAAATCTACTGCAAGGGAATTTCTTTCTAGACCATCTCTCCACAACTGCAAACACAGGCTGACTATAAATCTGAGAGGGTATATAGCCAGTAAGTAGAACCATTAGTGGAAAGCAAAGGATTTTGCTGTGCCTGACATCAAAAACTATAAAGATGGTATTAGTACCTGATATCCTCCAACAAGATGAAGAATGATGCAAGCATTAGCAAAATCAATGAGCCAGTAAGGCTCATAAAATCCAAATCCTGTCAAGAGATTTCCGGGGGTGGCATCGCCGAAGGCTGCATATCCAAAGCATCCACAACAGAGATAGAAGAAAGTTATCACAAAGATTGCAATCATTGATGCCTTCTTCATGGTTTTGTTCTCTGGTGGAGGTGACTTCAAAGTGTCCTTCATTAACAAATGCTTATCTTGTTTTAGAAGTGTAGTTTTGTTTCATGTGTAGAGGAGAGTAGAAGCCATATATATACCTGTATCTCTAGAAGAATGAGTGTATATGGGTAAGAAAAAGCCATATCCCCAAGTGCCTGGAAGACCAACCATATCTTGTCGGCAATATTGGCAGCTGACACTCCTGTAATGCTCCCCTTTATCCCCCCATTTTCTGCAGTGAAGAAAATTAATCTGAAAATGCTAAGTCCTTGGACAGAATTGAAGTATGAGGAAAATTCATAGCTTACCTATCACTTTTCCAAAGCCAAGTCCAAACCCTATGAAGGAGTATGAAAAGGACATGAGTGCAGCTATAACTGAAAGCATTTCCATGTTATGAAAATCTGGTATTTGTGACATGAAAATTTCAACAACTCCAAATATCAGCATATATAAGGTATGCCCATAATTGCATGAAGCATTATGCCCTTTTTTGTGGTAACAATTTGATTTCTGAATGGCCCTGCATTGTAGTCAATGTCATTGTGCAAACTACGTATCAATTAAAGAACTTCATCAAGTTTATAGTAAATCATCGTATCTGAAGTACCTCATGCTTGTAGCTGTTGTAATTACATAAGCAATACCACACCCATAAAAGCTCAGATTTTGAAACAAACTGCAGAACCATGCGTGTTTCCTACCTGAACTAACATTCAACCAAATTAGAAGATTGCATGTATATATCATCAACTCGCATCCATGTGAGGAGAAAGAGGTTTAGTATTTTACTACCAAGATTCCGTCTAACAGCGTCCATGTAACAATGGTTTCTTGTTCCAGTTACAGGATCAGGAGACCTATAACAGTCAGAAAGTAGGAAGGCAGAAACATAGGTGACTATAGCAAAAAGAAGAAGGAAAACAGGTCCTGCTATCCATCCTAGCTGGGCAGTACTCCATGCCAAAGACAGAACTCCAGACCCAATAACAGCAGTGATAATATAAGCTATGCAACTCCATAAGGTTCCTGGTTGGAATGAACAGAAGACAGTAGATTCAAAGTTGAAGCAAAATGAAAGCATAATGGGAAAATCATGCTATATCTAGAAGTTGCTTTTTACCTGTTCTTCCCGGATGTCCATCATCATCACAAGTGCTGCTAGACAGTTGAAGAGACTGTTGAACTGCCATGTTTATCCAGTTCAAAGTGGGATCCGAATTTTGTTTACGAGTTCTCTACCTGTAATTCCCAATATAAAGAGTCTAATCTTAGTCCAAAAATATCTAAAAAGAGCTTTGCGTCACCGTATGTAAGTAAAAGAAACAAGTCCCCTAGGAAAGTAGTTCATCGCTTTTTATCCTCTCTATCTATTGTAAAGATGAGATTTCTTCAAATTCCAGTGGCTAGAAAGTTAGCCACTTGCTTGATTTGGTATAATAATTAAGAAAATCCTACCATTTCCTAAATATGTATGTTTTTTGAAACAATTGCACCAAAGTCCCACTAAGCTAAATACTTTTCAAAAAAAAATACACTTAACTTTCAAAAGCTGAAACTGAAATTTGAAATAATGGTAGGTTATCACACTTGTAGAAGTCTCATAATTCTAGAAGATCAAACTAACATCAAACCTGATTATTTAAAAGAAAATACAAGTGAGAATCAAAATCCCTGCCCAAAACCATATGCACTATATCTATCCATATGGCCTTACCTGCCGCTAGTTTGAATAGAAGAGAAGGTTGCAGAGAAAACCAATGCTTCACCGCTTCACAGTATACATCTTCTGCCTTGGATTCCCAAGCCTTCTTTTCAATTATGACAACTAAAAGTCATATCTGGACCACAATAATGGAACCCTATTGTCGTATTCATTTTGGTGGTTTCTTCCCTACGAATGTACTTTGGCGTCTTTTATCTTGCTTTTTTTTTAATAATTTGTAATTATTTAGAGAGTTAATTGGGAGAGAGGGGAAAAGATTTTCGTGGAGTTCGAACGTGCGACTCATCGAAAGTACACGGTTCTAATCGAAAGTCTAATGTCACTGAATCAGAAGTTAGTCTAGCTTGAGGCTCCAAAAAAAGGTTGGGGAACAGAATTTCGGAACCGTTCGTCTTTTATCTTGTCTTTAAATTGTAATGAATATATTTTTTTATAATTAATATATATAAAAATTAACAAAAATTAATTTAAATTTAATTAATTAATTAAAATTATTTACATGATAATAATATTAAAATAAAAATTAATTTTTTATTTTTTATACAAATTAATTATAAAAAATTATATTTATTATATCTAAACTTATATTATAAAAGCACAAATTATACTTGGATGAGCTGCGGTATATATTTATTAAGAATTTCAACACCACGTGTATTAGTGGGTTGGTCAATCTTCTACGAAAGAAATTAGCAGTAGAAGCAGCATTAAACTTCAATCATTCAATGCTAACTTGATACCTCACGAAATTAAGACACCTTACCAAACGATGAAGTTATCTCATCAAAATTGAACTTTACGGCGCAACTATCCTTTTAAAGAATCGTTGTCTTGATAGACTAAAATTGCTATCAATTATTTGTTTGATTAGTGAAAATATTTATCAATTATCATTCTAACAGTTAAATCTATTGATAGATTAAGATTACGAGATTTTAAATAAATTTAATATATATAAATTTAAGACATTATCTTAAACTTTAAAAATTATTTATTAAATTTATAAATTTTTACATAAATATTCTACTTATTTTTATTATATCTTTTTAACATAAGATTCTATTACAACTCTAAAGTGAACCACTCTTTTTAATAGTATTTTTGTTTATTTGTGAATTATAATAAATCTTCACATTAAAAAAAATTACGATGTGAATAAATAAAATACCTACAATAAAATTCATAAATTGTATAAGTAAGCCATTTAGAATCAAGATAATTTTTTAAACTTGCATGTGTTGAGCAAGCTTCTCTAAGCCCAATCTCCCAACAAAATCAAATAGATCCTTGGTTTCCATTGAGAGAGCCTCAGAAGACAAAGTAGCGTACTAGCATTCCTCGTTAGAAATCGGGAAGGTATAGAGACTTTTCAAACTTTTAATTATTGGATTGTAGAGTCTATTGATGACGTGTTACTGTGACACCAAGGACTTTCTCCATCCTACTTGTAAAAGTTTAAAATAATGGTTAAATGTTAAATGGTCCCTAACTTTGAACTTTACTTTTTTTTGGTCCTCATACTAATATGGTTCTTGAACTAATCATAAAAGCTAATAACATTTTAGCATTGTTAAAGCTAATAACCTTTTTTTTATCAGCGAAAAAGGATTCATTATACTAGGAGTACAAGGAGTACTACTTTGACCCAATCAATCCTACACCTTGATACAACTAATTGTAATAAGTATTAAAATTCATCACGTTGTTAAAAACCATTCTCTATCATACTCCTAAGAGTAACTGTATCACTAAGATCTTGCTACTGAGTTACTGCATCTGCTTTTCATTGGGATATATACCAACTGTTAGGATTTAAATCTGGCCATAAATGAGTTTGAGTCCACCAAAATTATCAGAATTTGATTAGCTCCAATACCTTGTCTTGAGAATCAACTCCGTGCGTACAGAAAACCTTTTGACTTCGCCACAATTAGCCCATAAATTCCAGGTTTTTTTACATTTGAATAAGAGGTGTTCTGCAGTTTCAATCTCCTGTCCACATAGAACGCAACAAAGATCTGGAGCATTTCTTTGCATACCCCTCTTTAAGAGGTTTTCTCTTGTTGGTATTCGATTTTGGATCACCCACCATATAAAAGCTAGCTGACACTTTTTAGTGGGGTGTTCTTGTCCCGTATGAGCTGGTTATCTTCGTGCTCCTCTCCATTCTGCTTGATACTAAACAGTTTGTATGCTGATTTTGTTGTATACTTTGCTCTCATGTCTCCACCTCCAGCCATCTTGTTATCGTCTTTGTGGTTTTGCCATTTGTAGCTCAAGTTACTGCAAAAGAGATTCAATTCCCACACAAACAAGTCTCTGCGCCTCCTCCAGGACCATACCCATACATCTCCCTCCCATCTGCCTTTGTTAAAGCTAATAACTAATAAGCAAGTCCCATGAGAAGCTCTAAATTTGCGTTTTTTATGAAAAAAAAAACCTATATAAGCTCTTTAAAATTACAATGATAAAAAACAACTTTTTCCTCAAACAAAATTTAAAAATTTATGATAGAAGATAGGGGTGAGCATTAGGTACGCGTGCATCCATTATTTGTAAATATTTTACTTTTTTAGATAAATATCATATTCAAATTATAGAAAAAATGAATAAGTAATGAGTATAAAAATAGCATTCCTATAATTATTAAGTAACAAATATAGTGGTATAAAATTGTTTATTCAACATGTCTAACTAATTTATTTAATTTATATGTTATATATGCTTGTATAACTAAAATTTTACATATACTTATTGATAGAAAAAATAAAGAGAGAAAAATATAAAGATATATGAAGAAAAGAACTTTTTTTTTCTTAATTTTACTGAATATACACGATGTTTATTTATAGACCCGTACAAGAGAATATTTTATGTTACAAAATCAATGAACCTAATTATATTAATAAATTATAATGTGAATCCAATCAACATAATTATAATATGAATACTCTATAACATTCCCCTCAAACTTCAAGTGATGATGAGGAGATCATTTTGAGTTTGGAAATAAGAGTGCAGAAGCATCCAACTCTTTCTTTCTTAATTTTACTGAATATATAATGTGTTTATTTATAGGCTTGTATAAAAGAATATTTTATAGTATAAAAGAATATTTTATAGTATAAAATCAATTAACCTAATTATATGATATCAATCAATTATAATGTGAACCTAATCAACATAATTATATGGTTAAATGCCTATTTTGGGCCCTCAACTATTGTACGGACCCCCAATTTGGTCCATGAACTAAAGAAATCCTTGAGTTGGTCCTTAAATTATTGTACGGATCCCCAATTTAGTCCCTAAACTATTATACGGATCCCCAATTTGGTCCCTACTATTTACCAATTTAGCCCCAACTTAGTCCTTCTGTTAAATAATAGCTCAGGGACCAAATTTGGGTGAAATTGTTAACAGTAAGGACCAAATTGAGGGTCCATACAATAGTTCAAGGACCAACTTTGGCCAAATTATAAATAGTGGGGACCAAATTGGGGTCCGTACAATAGTTTAGGAACCAAATCAGGGATTTCTTTAGTTCAATGACCAAATCGGGGGTCCGTACAATAGTTCTGGGACCAAAATGGAGATTTAACCTAATTATAATATAAATATTCTATAACATCCCCCTCAAACTCCAGGTGATAATGAGGAGACCAGCTTGAGTTTGGAAAGAAGAGTGCAGAAGTGTCCAGGAAAGTGAGTTTTTGGTGAAAAGATCTGCATACTAATTATACAAATCGGTGCAGTCGACGTCGCTAGAGGAGAAGAAGGCAATATTAGATCTGAGCAACAGCAACATCGAAAGTTTAATTGCGAGAAATCAAGAGCAAAATCAACAACAATTGGATGTGACAGTTGGAGCCATACTGGCCGTGGGAGTAACACATATTGCTAGCGCAGCAAAAGAATAGGATCACGAAAACCCAATTGCAAATAAGTCCAAGAAAGAAAGGAAAAATGATGATGATCAGCACCACTTATAAGCAAAGTAGCAAGTCACAAAAGAGATGAATAATAATAGTAAAAAAAAGCCTCAAGGCTTTGATAAAATGATAGAAAAATAAAAGAAGAACAATATAAAGATATATGAAGAAAGAAACTTTTTCTTTCTTAATTTCATTGAATATACAATGTGCTTATTTATAGGCTTGTACAAGAGAATATTCTATGATACAAAATCAATTAACCTAATTATATCAATCAATTATAATGTGAACCCAATCAACATAATTATAATATAAATATTTTGTAACACTTATTATACTTTATATTAATATAATAATAATAATTTTTAAAAATAAAAATAATAAATACCAAAAATAGAAATAGAAGTTAAGTACACCCATTCGCATGTTTGGTTTGAGGGGAATGGAGTGGAAAGGAAGGGTAGGGAGGGGAAATTTATCTTTCCATTCCCCTCTCCTCCCTTTTCCTTATTTAGATAAATTAACAAATTAAGAGAAAAAATAAAGTAAAGAAAAATTTCCCCTTTTCCTCTCCATCATTTCCCTCAACCCAAACATGCAATATAAGCCATACAAATGACATACGCAAAAGTAACAATTTGTATAAATAATAAATCATAACTTAAATACATAACACATGTAACAATGATATCTCAGACTATAATTTTTTTTTTTTTTTGTAAACTAAGTACATAAATATATATCTATAAATTAATCGATACTTATTTGGTTAAATATCTAAAATATATCTCCAAGTATATTTGGATAAGTATGAAATTTAAAAAATTATATCAAAAACTTCTTAAATTAAGTATCAAATATAACTCATTCTCAATCTATACTTGAAAACACACGCTCTTATGGAGTGGTGCAACTTACAAAGTTAAGGCAACTTGTTCCCCATGCGTAAGCCCAGTGGCAGCCCAATAGACTTTGTAGGGGTCACTGGCTGGGATATCTTAGGTTTGAATTGCAGCCCCACTTTTCCTACCCATATATATATATATATATATTTTTAAATTTTTGAAGAAGTCAAATACAGTAACTAATAATAATATCAATAGTAAAGTTAGTAGTAGATAAATAA